ATATGGTCTATTAGTATCCCAAACAATGAATGTAAAAGACCCTCAGCCTTTTATTGGTGCCCAACAGGGAAATTTCAGGAAAACAGGGGTAGAACTGAGTATGCAGTATTCTACAGAGGAAAAAAATAAAACAAAAAACAAAGTTGGAAACCACATTTCCTGATTGCAAAACTTTCTACAGAACTACAGTAATCAATCAGGTTCACTGCTATACACCTGTAATCCCAGCAACTTGGAAGGCTAAGGCAGGAGGATGACAAGTTTGAGGCAAGTGTTGGGAACTCAGAGAGACCCTGTCTCGAAAAATAAAAAATAAAAAGGTCTGGGATGTAGCTTAGCTTACTGGGTTCAATCCCCAGTACCAGGTAGGGAAAAGAAAACTACAGTAATCAAAATAGTGTAGTATTAATATAATGACAAATGTATAGATCAATGGAAGAGAAAGGAAAGTCCTGAACTCAATGATTACTTTTATGGTAACTGATTTTTTACGGGGCTACCAACACAATTCAATGGAGAAAGAACACTTTTTCTGACAAATGATGCAGAAACAATTGTATATCTACATACAAAAGAATGCAGTTGGATCCCTCCCTCACCTCATATAAAAATTAATTCAAGATGCACCAAAGACCAAAGTATAAAACTACAAAGAAACTATAAAATTAGAAGGAGACTCAGGAATAAGTCTCCGTCACCTTGGATTAGGCAAGGGTTTCTTTGCTATGACAGCAAAAGCCTAAGTGACAAAAGAAAAACCAAGCTGAATTTCTGGATTCATCAAAGCTAAGAACTTTCATGCCTCACCTGCAAAGTGAAAATAATCTATGGAATGGAGAAAATTGTATCAAATTATGTATCATAAAAAATTTTCACAATTCCACAGTAAAGACAATCCAGTCTTTAAAAAAAAAATGGGCAAAGGCTATGAATAGACATTTCTCCAAAGACATGCAGATGGACAATAGGCGCATGAAAAAAGGCTCAATATTATTATTTATTAGGAACATGCAAATGAAAACCACAATTAGATGCTATTTTACACCAATAGGATGGCTAAAATAAGACAGCTAACATCTGAGGGCAACAGAGTAAGAAAGTGCAACCCTCAGAGGCTGCTGATAGAATTGCAGAATGATATGGCCTCTTTTACAAACTGGAAGCCCCTCAGAGTTTTAAACAGTCCTGACCCAGCAATTCCATTCCTAGGTATGCTCCCAAGGGAAATGAAAACATATGTTCACACAAAAACTTGTCCATGAATGTTCACATCAGTATGATTCATAATAACAAAAAAGCTGAAACAACCCAAATGCTTACTTATTGATGAACATATAAATAAATGTGGCCCGACAATACAATGCAGTATTATTCAACTATAAAGGGATGAAGTACTGATATAGGCTACAGCATCCACAAACTCTGAAAATAGCAAGCTAGATCTGAGAAACCAGTCACAAAAAAATCCACGTATATCAAGTCTCCAGAAGGAAAATCTATAATCTATGCAGAAAGTAGATTAGGATATGTTTGTCAGGGGAGGGGGGAATGGGAAGTGACAGCTAACAGGTACAGGGTTCTTTGGGGAGTGACAAAAATATTCTAAAATTGAACAGTGGTAAAAATAGTTGTACAACTCTGAGAACAGATTAAAAGTGACTGAATTGTGCACTTTATTTATTTATTTTTAAATTTTTTTGAATTGTTCACTTAAATGGGTGAATTTTATGACGTGTGAATTATATCTCAAGAATGGTGTCATTTAAAAGTTCTACAAAGGGGCCAGGTGCAGTGGTGCATGCCTGTAATCCCAGTGGCTCAGGAAGCTGAGGCAGGAGGATCATGCGTTCAAAGCCAGTCTTAGTAAAAGTGAGGTGCTAAGCAACTCAGCGAGACCCTGTCTCTAAATAAAATATAAAACAGGGCTGGGGATGTGACTCAGTGGTCAAGTTCCCCTGAGTTCAATCTCTGATACCAAGAAAAAAAAATGTTTTGCAAAGAGGAAAGAAAACAGATAATCAGGGAACAGAACAGAGTTCAACTTTTACTAGCAACCCTGCAGGTTATGTGACAATGAAATAATACTTTCAAAAACTGAGGGAGACAATTACTTGTAATTTGGAATTCTCTAAATCCAGCCAACTGTAGGTGAGGCTAGCAACATTTTCAGACATTAATGTTCTCAAAAATTAATTCCCCACAAACTGTTTTTAGAAAGCTATTGGAGGATATACTCCATCAATATGAAGAAAGAAGCAGAACTGAGAGCCAACACAGG